GTTGTGAACCCTCTGGTTCTCTAAAGTATCAGGAACGAACGACCCCACACGGCACGAGGACAACTATTTATTCTCAACAGTTTATTTTCACTTCCATCGACTAACAACAATGAATGACTGAATGAACAACTGAAAAACTAACACTAAAACCACCAGGTAATTATAGCGTGAAAATGACAGCGCATATGAGAAAAGCATACACATACAACATACAACTACAGCGCACACAGCAAACCGCACATAGCGCATGTAGCGTATACTGCGTCGTAATCATCAGCGGTACGGCGGAGTCGGGATACAACTGCATTGACATGAACACAATGTCCACAAGCGAGAAGGCCTTTCACTCTCGAGAACTTGTGGTTTCACAACAACGACACTTTATACCACCTTGATGACCTACGCAAAAAGGCATAGGAATGTTATATATTTTTCAATTCTCCTAACCTTTTTCAGGCATAACCTGGGATTCAAACCCGCACTATCACCCTACATGCATTCCCCCATACACTTCGCATTCATACTCATTCTTCCAAGTTGCTTCACGTTATGATCTTGCGTTTGAAAGCCCTATTTTAATATTGCGTCCAGCTGTATGTGGCCAGCTGTGTTTGATGGTACGGTACGGGAGAGATACGGGATAGCACCAGGCTAGGCGTGACGCAAACACACAAACAAATACCAAATTAAAGCTGTGTGGACCCTGGCTAGCGCCAGATGTTACTGAAGTAACGTATTCTGCATAGCTACGGGAATAAATAAAATCCAATCCAATCCAATGCACACGGCACACACACGTGGCCACGCATAGGCCTCGGCGGGTAATGCTAGTTATTTCAACTCAAAATGCTTTTAGCATTGCTAGTTATTCGGTCATATAATGCTCGTTAGAATGCTAATTTTGGACTTGTAATGCTAGTTGAAAAGGCAATGTGAGCACTCATATGGCATTGTGTCATAATATAAGTCACACTGCACGGAATACTGCTATTGGAAGTACCTAGTGCCTATCACTTCCCTGCGGCTGACACTCCAGATCACAAGCCAAAGCAGCCCAGTCGAGACTATAGTTCGTTTTGTATGCAGGAATTCCACAAGTTGCTGAAATCGGTATCCCTACACTCTTTTTCATCCACTAACCCCCCCCCCCCCCCCCAAATGGCCGCTGAGTGGGTGAAGAAGTTCAACTGTGCACTGGATGAACTCGCGCCAATTGTCTCACGAAGAGCGGGGAGGCCTACCTCTAAGGCCGCGGTCACACCGAGCTCGATTCAGCCGATCAGCCGAAACAAGCGCTTGTTTACGTCACTATTACCATGGAAATGGCTGAAAAAATGTCCTACAAGCGACTTTCAGCCGTGGCTGACTCTCAGCCGTTTTTTTCCGGCTTGTTTCAGCCACAGCTTGTACAAGCGGCTGAAAGCCGAAATTCAAAAAATAATTTGAGTGCGCTTGGAGCTCCGGAGCACACCATGTAGCTAGTTGACATGATGAACTGATATTGATGTTCTTTCTTGTGTCCGTGGAACCGTGCTATCCCTGTGCCCTTGGTTTTGACCGTGAGTCTGTCTACCCCAACTACACTGTATTCAGTTTGATTTGGATTTTGTCCGACGACCATGGATTTCTGCCGCTGTGCCTCTAGACTGCTGCGTAGATTGTTGGAGCTGTGGTTTGAGGCCAAGACAAGGCACCACACTCACGACCGAATTCATGAAGAAAGCCGGGTACGAAGAAGAGAGTGGATTGCAACCGAGTTCAATAACGGCAACCGGCGGGGCAGAAAGCTCGACATCAGGAAACACCACCTGAACCATCGCGTCGATGCACACCGAACAAATAAAAAGAGCACGACTTCGCAATTCAGAATCCGGGCTTCCTTTGCTTCTTCATCAAAACTGAACACTAGAACAAGTACAGTTTTAGATCGCGAACGTTCTGCTCTCCAGTTTCTTGCAAACATTGGTGTGTTTCGAGATACTGAAAATTTGGCGGGTAAGAAAAACAAGCCATTTAAGCTTTGCACTCAAGGTCTGGTGTGACCGCGTCACAGGGATCACGCAAGCCAGCTGAGCGCCAGCGATAACAAGCCCAAAGTGGCTTGTTTTGGTGTGACCGGGCCTAGAGTAAGATGCCCTTTCATGACTGAGGAGCTACTGCACCTTATACGACAACGCAAAAGTGCGTTCCGCCGATTAAAAGCCTCAGCTTTCCAAGATCCAGTTATTGAACTCCAATTCAGGCAACTGCGCACCCGATCTAACAACCTGTATCGCCAGCTCCGCAACAAATATTTTTCGGAGCTCTGCCAAGACTATGAACAATCTCCTCGGAAGTTCTGGTCAGCGATCAATGGTATAACAAAACGTAAACCAGCTAAACCCAAAACCTCGGTTGAAGCAGAGACGCTGAATATATATTTCCATTCAATCGTTCACGACCCCGATGCCTCCTACAACATACCGCTCGGGCCGGTCTCCTCCACCGATTTGGAGTCGTTCGCATCTGTCACCATTGCGGAAGTAGAGCTTCTTCTACTAGGCCTGAAGCCCTGCAAAGCCCCGGGTCCAGACAATATACTGCCCTGTCTTGTAAAGTCTGCCGCTTACATTCTTGCCCCATCACTAGCAACCCTGTTTAATGCCTCCTGTTCTTCTGGTATACTCCCGTCCACGTTCAAAGAAGCGAACATTTGCCCAATGTTAAAGTCCCAACGCAGTGACAGATCAGACCCGTCCCAGTACCGAACCATATCCCTTAGTAGTGTCATTGCCAAAGCCCTGGAGAAAGTCGTTCTTAGACAGCTCCAGCAGCTATTTGACGACAAGTGCCCATACCATCAAGACCAGTATGGCTTCCGCTGCCATCACTCTACTGCCCAACTCGTCACCAAGGCTGTAAGCCAGTGGACTGCGAGCCGGGATACTGGACACACTACCATGATTGTGTTTTTAGACCTAAGTAAGGCATTCGATTGGGTGAACCACCAGTGCCTCCTCATTTCACTGCAAGCCAAGGGTATTGGAGGGACAGCACTAGCATGGTTCGCCTCATACCTGTGTGATCGTCGGCAGAAAGTCACCCTGCCACATGCTACATCCAGAGTCCTCCCAGTTTCGCGTGGAGTCCCGCAAGGTACTGTTCTGGGTCCTGTACTCTTTGATGTCTATATAAGCCACCTCCCTACCATAGCGGATTCCTTCGCCTGTTCCCTTCCCATGTTCGCAGATGATATGACCCTCTACCGAAATGTCCCCTCACTCGAACTGTGTATTGCCTCCGTCATTCCCTGCCTGAATGTACTATGTGACGAGCTCCACATGATGATTAATGTTAAAAAGTCAGGTGTTATGATCACTTCCCCCGGCCTAAACCCCATGCCGCACCCAAGTGTCTTTAGCCTTCAAGGTGAGCCACTAAATTTTGTGACCGAAACTCGTCTCCTTGGTATCCAAGTTGACAACTGCCTGTCATGGACCAAGCATATCGATGTAATTGTTAGAAAAGTATCCCAGAAGGTGGGTGTCTTACGCCGCCCTTTCCGGCAACTGAGCAAACTTGCACGCCGTCAGTACATCCTGTCTGTCGTTCTTCCTGATATTCTGTACTGCATCTGTTCCTTCGTCACACTCATTACTGCGAAGGATCACAATCGTCTAGTAAGCGTGTACAATAGAGCTATCCGAGCGGCTTGTGGGGCTTTGAGCCGGGACAGTATTTCTGATCTTCTGAAAAACCTTGATGTTAAGCCCCTGGACTACTATTCTCTGGTGTCAACTGGGAAGTTCATTTTCATTAATCATATTCTTCGCCCTTTGCCTGTTTGCATCGTTATTCCCAACCCCGCAATCTACCTGGAGCACGCGTAGTCGCGACACACATGGTATCCCTTATTTAAAATGCAGAACAACACTCGGTCAAAAATCCTTTGTGCTTTATTTTTTTATTTTTTGGTCCCATCGGCCTCTTCATATTTGTGCAGCTGCACTGTTGAGCTTCCGATGTAAAACAAATAATAATAATAATAATGTGTTACGAGAACAAAATACAGTGCCAAAATAGAATGGGGGAAGGTGAGACAATAGAAGTGAAGTGAGAGCTAAGTGCAACGGCGGGTGAGAAACTGATAATTATAACGCTAAAACTGTGTAGTGAGACAAACAATCATGCTGTGCACCTACGAAAACAATTTTAACGCAACTACATGTTTCTTCTGCTTACAAATATCAGGCTTATGCAAACGAATACAAACAGCCTCAAGTACTTTCAACTGACTAGCATACCGTGCACGACAAAGAACAGAAAACTAAAATCATCATACACCTGCAGACACTAAGGGTGAGACAACAAGTGAAGAAAACGGCAGACTTCTTACGATCACAATCACCATCTGATTCTCGTCTCCAACAACCGCAACCTCGTCCTCCGTCTCATCTCCCAACTTGTCCTCAGTGTCGTCCTCCGTGTCATTCTCCTCATCAACACCGATCGGTCCCAGGCTCGCTTCATGTTGTTTAACCTCTGTTTGTTGACTCCTCCTTTGATCTTGATGGTAAATTGTTACCATTGTTGTTGTTGTTGTTGTTGTTGTTGTTGTTGTTAAATCTTGTGTTCCCAGTGTCCTCACCGGTGCTTGATCTCCAGTACTGTAATAATTCATTGAATAATTAGCCGTTGATCGTCTAGGTCTTTGAATGTTGATTGTGTTACTTTCTTTGTTGAATTCCGTTCCCTTCAGCCTTCTTTCTCGTTGTTCACGTTCAGTGCTTGCCTCATCCATATATGCACGTGCCACCGACACCACAGACTCAGCCCCAGCACCGCCGTTGATAGATGTAGGTGGCGGTTCTGGGGGAGGCAACGGCAAAGACGGCGATGAGGGCATTACCTCATCACAGCGTCCACTTTGGTCTTGAGCTGAATGTTGTTGTGGTGTGCTATCTAGTGTTGTTATGGTGCATTGTGTTGTGGTGTCAATATGCCCATTACCCGACTCCAAGGCTCTCGATACGGGTAATGGAGGCACTATTGCCGATGACGGAAATTGTGGTGCCCTGGCACGAAAGCCTTTCGTAGCCGGCGCAGCCGCAGCCCTGGAGTAGGAGTGGGGGTGCATCTGCGCCTGGCACGCACCCACAGCCTGCGCGGGCCGTGGATGCACCTGGGTGAAGGACTGGTACAGGCTGGTTGGGTGCCGGCCAGGCACTCCTCCAGCTTCCTTACTCGACTGCAAGTTACGTCCGCGCTAGCAGCCACACGTCGGATTTCTTCGCCTTGCGACCTGATCGCTTGCTCCAAGGGTCGAGTATCCGTCTTCTCAAGCCTTCTTTCAAGAATATTGAGTCGAGAATCCAAGCCATTGAACGAGTTACTGACGGCTGACACCTCCTCACGGATACGGGCAATGGAATCTAGGACCGTTTCCATGCGCTCTTCTAAAAGATCGCTCATGCAGGTGCTTTTAAACTGTTTCATGAGTGGTCTGCATTTACGATGCCAACAGAGTCCGGTGCGGGGAGCTGTGTCGGCGACTTTCGACCGGTACCAACGCCAACACTGGAAGCAACACTCTCAGGTGACTCCGACAGCTCTCCCAGCTCAAACACAGGTCGAGGCTGTACATGTGTGCAATCCCTGACAGCACTCGCACCAACATGCCTCCGTTCCAGAGAGGCAGCACTTGCTGGCGTTCCAGCTAGAGCCTCCAAGGCCCGCACCACCCCCTCGAACGACATGATTGCTCTGTAGCTGTGTTGAGGTGGTTTCAACAGCGCGCGCCTCTCACGCCTCTCACCAGTTCCAGCATCCAACAGAAGTGTGAATGCCAAGCCAGGTGCGCAAACAGCACAGGGGACACGTTTTGTGGATAGTTCCGTTGTGGTGGCTGAGTCTCAGCTTGTTACGTAATTTTTCTGATCTTCCATGCTGTGTTTATTTGTTTATCAAGTTTTAGTTTTTTTTTATTGTTGTTTTTTCTTGATGAAGTTATTGGTGTTCTTCCTAATACAGTGTTTTGTTTTGGGGTTTTTTGCTTTGTTTTGCTTCTCCTTTTGAATTGAGTTTATTTAGTTTATTGATCAAGTTTATTAAAATGTTTGAACAAACGGCGAGGAGACAACAACTTTATAACCGCAATCAGTAATACAAGCTGGATCGACATTTGTGTACACTGTATTCATGTATTGTAAAACTGTGGAGACAATGTGCAATAAAACGATGAAAAATGTGAAGAAATTGTGTAGAGAAAGAAAGGGATTCAAACAAGTTTTCGTACAACACTCATCAGGAATCGTCGTTGTACTAAAGGACACTGAAACAAAAATTGAACTATTATAGAAAATCTAAGTTAGAGAAATAACACTAAGAGCAACAACAGTGAAATTTACAAGTGTGAATTTTAACAATCAAAGCGAGAAATGAACAAAGGAGAAAGGAAGGAAAGACAACGTGATAACACATAACAGCAGTACATTACACCTAGAACATTAACGGCCAAGCTTGGCCGCACTAAACACGACACGTTACTTGAACTTAACGTAGGTTTTCTTAGACGTTGTTTAGACAATGGCGTATGTCCTAGCGGTGTAGAAAAGCTTGTTCACCGAGCCAAGGCATACCACACGTTGAACATTGAGCGCGTTTTCATGTAGGATGAGATTGCCAGGTCCGGTGACACGGTGTGCAAATCTCGTTCCCAGTTTAGGTCTTTGTATGATCGTGCACGTACATTTTTGTCATCTCATGACTTCCTCCGTTTCTCAATGCTCCTTTCTGAGAACGACCGGAAACAACGAATAAAACTTGTTACCAAACATGACAAGACATATAACTGGCTCAGAAGGAAACGTTACGGCCAAGTTAACATCGATCCCGACACAACAATAATCAACTTAACCCCATTGGAATTGACTAGTGTACAGAAGGAGCTCCTTTGCCGTGGCACTGATTTTGGCGTTCCCCCATCATCAAAGAAAAAGGAAGTTATCATGACCGAGTTCGAATTGTTTTATCGAAAGTTAGTACGCTTTACGCCAATATCAGAGGCCCAACAATCAATATGCGCTGCAAAGATCCGAGCTGAGGCTGAGGAGCATGCGGACAAACTTCCAGACAAGCGATCGTTTTCCTTTGGCCAGGAACACATGAAAGCCCCTGCGTGACTTCCGCAAAAACACTGAAATTATCGTCACGCGCCCGGACAAAGGGCGGGCTACAGTTCTGATGCTCAGAACTGATTACATAGACAAGATGTCTGTCATCCTAAATGACACATCAAAGTTCCAGACCATCGGCCCGGTTGAAAGTTTTGATCGAACAGAGAAAGTAGAAAAAGAACTAGTAGCTTACCTAAAGAAACTGAAAGCCGACGGAGAAATATTCTCCAATGATTTCGATCGCATAAAACCGACAGGCACGCTCCGGCCTAGGCTATATGGCTTACCAAAAATACACAAGCCCACATGTCCAGTACGTCCCATCCTTTCTATGACGGCCTCGCCTCAGTATTCTATTTCCAAGTGGCTGTGTATTTACTTACAACCAGTGCAGGACCACTATTGCAAGCGCACTGTAAAAGACAGTTTTGATTTCGTCGAAAAGCTCCGCAACAAGCTTGTACCACCCAACGCACACATGTGTTCGTTTGACGTCGTCAGTTTATTTACTAATGTGCCGATTGAAGAAACTGTTGACATCTGCATGGATGTTTTGTACCGTAATGATGACATTGACACTCCTTGGATATCTGAAAGTGCGTTTAGACGATTGTTGTTGCTGGTCATAACTGGAGTTGAGTTTCCGTTCAACAATGTCATGAACAAACAAGTCGATGGTGTCGCGATGGGTTCGCCCCTTGGTCCAGTATTGGCAAACGTGTTTGTCGGTTACTGTGAATCGAAGATTGATGATTCATTGTGGCCTGACCTTTATGTACGTTTCGTGGACGACTCATTCGCATATTTTAATAATGAGGAGCGTAGTAACGAGTTTCTGGACGCGTTAAATGGTATTCACCCCGCCCTTCGTTTCACATGTGAGCATGAACAGTCCAACAAGGTGTCATTTCTGGATGTGCTGGTGGAAAAAACGAGTAGTGACGTTCTGACAACCGTTTATCGTAAGCCGACGTTTACTGGTCAGTACATGGTATATGACTCTTATTGTTCGTCTCAATAATGTAAACTTAGTGCGTAACCTTGTAGACCGTGCGAAGCGTATTTGTTCGTCCTGTAAGCTGCAGGAAGAGCTTGACTTTCTCCGGTCAGTTTTCGTTAAGAACGGGTACCCGGAGTTTTTGTTGCAGAAGTTGTTGAAAGTCGAACAAACTACTAAGGCTCCTTTGTTTGGTCCTGCTCGTTGTCCCGTCTATTTATGTTTGCCTTTGAAAGGACAGGAGTCGACTAAAGTTTGTAGTGCAGTCAAGTCTGTTGTTCGTCGAAAAAACTATGCAGTACACGTTGTGCCAGTTTTTACGACGATGCGTGCGTTGCGACGATGCGTAGGATGTCCTACCAGCCCTTCACCTTAGTCATCTTATTTACAACTTTGAATGCCGACAATGCGCTAGTCGGTATGTTGGTAGGACTGTTAAGCACCTGAACGCACGCATCAAACAACACACACCACGTCACATACTTCCACCTTGCGCACAACAACAAAGACCGAAGCGAGGGCGACCTAGAAAACAACCATTAACCACACAGCCGTTGCCTACACAACCCGCGGATCCTGGCTCTCAGACTGTGCTTGCTCCGCCGTCGTTGGTGGCGGTGGTGGAGGAGAATGGGCGTGGTGGCTCATCGGGTCGGCTTGTGTCGCCGCCTTTGCTCCGGCCGTCGGTGGTTCCTTCGTCAGTGCCTCCGGCGGCTTTGGCTGAGGCGGTGCCGCTTGCGGTCCCGGTCCCACTGCCTCCTCCTGATCCTCCGCCATCGGTTTTTGCGGCGGTGGAGCTTGCCAGTGGCAGACCGCGAGCAACACTGACAGCTGCATTAACACTACAAATGCCGACTCAAAGAGACCCACCTTGCATATCAGTAACTCCCACACCAACACCAACAACGCAATCTACAGCAACCACAACTAATCCACCATCCAAGCCCATAATTGAAAGACCAAGACGATCAACAGCCAACTACAACAGAAGCTACCCACTCAGCGGACGAGGGCGAAAGGAGGGACGTAATAGCAGGGGGACGGCCGAGTTGAGTTCAATGGACCCGGTCAGGCGGGATGGACGAGACAGAGAGAGTACAGAGGAAGCAGAGGATGGAACGGACGGCGGAGGGAGCAGTGAGTCGGAGAGCAGTGATGGAAGTGATGGTGAGAGTGCCGGTGAGAGTGTTAGTGTTGTGCGTAGGTTTCGTGGTAGCAAGTCTTCAGTGTACAATCATCTGCTGGCTAGTCCTGATTGTTGCGGTGCGTATTCCGACTCTTCGTTCACTGTATTGTGCCGTGGTCGTCATGGTTATGGACTACAGTTAAAAGTGTTGGAAGCTATCTATCAGCGTCTGTACAAGCCTAATTTGTGTGTACAGAAAGATAGTATAATTGGGTTGAAATTGTTCAAGTGACGTGTCGTGTTTAGTGCGGCCAAGCTTGGCCGTTAATGTTCTAGGTGTAATGTACTGCTGTTATGTGTTATCACGTTGTCTTTCCTTCCTTTCTCCTTTGTTCATTTCTCGCTTTGATTGTTAAAATTCACACTTGTAAATTTCACTGTTGTTGCTCTTAGTGTTATTTCTCTAACTTAGATTTTCTATAATAGTTCAATTTTTGTTTCAGTGTCCTTTAGTACAACGACGATTCCTGATGAGTGTTGTACGAAAACTTGTTTGAATCCCTTTCTTTCTCTACACAATTTCTTCACATTTTTCATCGTTTTATTGCACATTGTCTCCACAGTTTTACAATACATGAATACAGTGTACACAAATGTCGATCCAGCTTGTATTACTGATTGCGGTTATTTTATTAAAATGATTTGAAGTTTTTTGGTTTGGTTTTGAAGTTCTTTATTTTACACATGCATTTTTTCTGATTTCTTCTCCAGTGTATGATTTAATGTATTTTAATCCATTGTGTTAATTTGCCCGTAAAAGAGGAT